TCGCGTGGGCGAGACTTGAGCTCTGTAGAGTGTGTTGTAGCTTGAGGTGACATGGCGGACCACCATCCGCTCAATCGTTTTCCCAGTGACGGACTATCAGGAACGTCTATTTTCTCATCTGTGACTGCTAGTTCGGCTGGCGCATTCTTCTTCTTGCGAGCGAACGTGAAGCCGAGAGGAAGATTCACGGGTGAACCAGGTCGCGATGGTTCTGCTGTCGACGAGGACTCTGATCCCGATGCTGGGTACAAAGCACCACCCTCCGGACCATCGCTTCTTGTGCGCTTTAGCAAGCTGCGGAGGTCTTCCTCGCTCAAAGCGTTAACTACATCGTCATCGCGTGCACCACGAGGTCTGAACTTTCGCCTCCCTTCTTGGATAGCGTACTCTAATTTTGCGCGGTTCGCAATAAACTTCAGCTTGGGAAAAGCTGATTGTTGACCAACATGTATCATGCGTGCTAATCGTTGCGGCGTGGGGTCAGTAAGTATATAAATGAAGTCCGAAGGTATGGATTTGGGCCAGATGGTTATAGTGCCGCTGAAGCGCTGCAGCCAAAGCTCACTCCAGTCTTGGCCAAGCGGGCGAGGTAACAGTTCGAGATGCCGAAGCACCTTGAGCCATTTATTGAGGTCAAGTTTAAGATATTGCTCTGTGGCCGAGCCTAAAAAGCCACCTCTCCAGCCCCGTCCTCGCCGATGAGTGACAGGTCGACCGACCGATCCGCGGGACGAAAAGAAGAAGATGTTGATGTGGGGGTTGACCTGGCTTACGATTGAGAATCGAACATTGAAGTGGAGATTCAATGCCTTGAGTGGAATGTCCGTTCGCAAACTGCCGTCTTTCCACTTATGTCCAAAAGAGTAGGGTGAAAGACTGCCGTCCTTGTTCTTCTTCATCAAGACCACTGGGTTGAGTATGCCCGGAACAGCAGCAGATGCCAGGACTGCTGACCAGACGACGCAGTCTGGGGCTGTGATGTAGTTGGCTAAGATGGTCGGCGAGTGGGGATCTGAGGGGACACATGAGACGTTCAGTATACGCCCGGTCCTCTGGTATGCCTCCTTGAAGGTCAAACTGCCATGGGTCATCCAAGCACATTTCTTTGCCCAATCGACGCTGTCGAATCTCGCTCCCGTCTTATACCATCTCTTTGACCAAGTGAGGATGCTTTCGTGACATGCTGTAATTCGATGAGCTAGAGCTGGTACGAGCAGCTTCTTTAGCTCTTCGTCGGTCCTTGTGCATAGCAGTGCAGCCACGAGCGCTCCTCCAGATGTACCCGTGATGACTTCTGGCAGCAGTTCGGCATCCATAAGAGCTTTGGCCACACCAAAGTGGTAGTATGCAAAGGTCGCCCCTCCGGACAGACATAGTGCAGTGCGACCGAAGTTGCTGCCGAGGTGTTTGAACAAGGCGCGCTTGTTCTCTGCATCGAGCTGGTTGGTCCGCAAGAGGAAAGCGAGCGATGTCTCGGCTTCGTCGACGAACTTCTGAACGAGGTCTTTGGTTCCGTAGTAAGTTTCGCTGTACAATCGCGGGTTTTCGAACCCTACGAAGTTGTTCTTCATCGAAGCTAAATGCGACGTTAGAGACAATCTGTGGTGATGTGACAGAGGATCCTACCTTCCAAGAGCGCGCGGAGGTCCTCAACAGCAGTGTGTTGGCCTTTGGAGGCATTTGATCCTGATCCAGCCCTTTCCTCTGCTTCGGCTTTCTCGCGCAGTTTGACCATCTGTTGGTGTACTCTTGCGATGGTCTTGCTGTCATAGTATGCGTAGTCAGCCTTCTCCTTCCACGATTCGTTGCCCAGGTATGCGTCTAGCTCCTTTGCCCCTTCTATCCACTCCTCATACGATCTCGCGTCGTTCAGTCGCTGTCTTAGTCTCTGGCGTGTGCCTCGCCATGTTATCCAGTGTTCGTACAGGTAGATGTACAGGCGAGTGAAGACGTAGGCTATGCTCAGGAACAGCAGCCACCCCAACACCACTAGCAGTAGTGGCCACTTGAGCAGTACGTAGACGAAGCCTTCGCGCGTTTCATCCTTGCCGCGTCGCGGGGGCGCTTTGCTCTTCTTGCGCCGCTTGACGCGCTGGTGGACGGGGCGCCAGTCGTTGAGGGCGGAGATGAAGGTTCGCTCGGGCGGCGGCGCTGTGAGGTCTTCGGTCGAGGGCGAGTTTTCGGGCGCAGCCAAGGCCTTCTCGAATTCGACAAAGTGCTCTTCCTGGACAAAGTCGTTGTCGTAGTCTGGTAGCAGGGTGAAGTCGAAGCCCGCCGAGGAGTATGGCTCTGGGCCGTCTGTCCTTTTATCTACGTCAGCCATGGGATAGAGAGCTGTCGGATATTGATCGCATCGTCAAGATGGTTAGGGGCGAAGACTCAGGTGATGTCAAATGGTCGTGTTGGCATGTGAGGCTCGAAGCTTCGGGACGTACGTCACTCCTGACTCGGAACCCTTCCGCCGTTCCTGCAGGATTGTGCGCGCACCTGCATGCACATCGTCAACGCGTCTGGCCCTCAACACCCCACCTCACGCGAACCAGCTATATACCTGCCCTCCTTTGAGGCATGCGACCTCGGTGCAGCATATTCCAAGCCGTCGTCCGATCGCGAACGCTTCACTCGCCGCAATGGAGGCCTCGACGCTGCTTGATGACACTTGCCATCGAGACGTCTTGCGATGATACATCAGTAGCCATAATCGAAAAAGGAACGCAAAATGGTCGCCCGACAGCCCGACTCCATTTCCACAAGAAAGTGACATCGGACAATGCCATCTATCAAGGCGTACATCCACTGGTATCGCTTCTGTCTCACCAGGAGAGTCTTGCTATTCTTGTGAATGAAGCCATTCGCTCTCTTCCTATGCGAGATGGATCGCTTCCTTCAGAGGCAGGTGGGACACAGACGGGCGCACTAGATGTTGCGGCGAGGAGGTTGCCCGACTTTGTGTCGGTCACTCGTGGGCCAGGCATGCGCAGTAATCTCTTCACTGGCCTTGATACTGCAAAGGGACTCGCTGTCGCATGGCAGGTACTGCACTAGCTTCTATAAAAGGACCTGCTACTGATACATCTGCTAGAAACCTCTCGTTGGAGTACATCACATGCAAGCTCATGCCCTCACACCACGCATGGTCAGCGCCCTCGAAGCCCACGTCGAGCAGAAAGATCCGTCCGCCGAAACAGTCCTTCACGATCCGACAACGACCGAACTTCCTCCCAAGTTCCCATTCCTATCGGTTCTTGCATCTGGAGGCCATACGTTGCTCATACACTCGGCGTCCTTGACAGACCATCGCGTTCTAGGCTCTACAAATGACATTGCTATTGGGGAGTGTTTGGACAAAATAGCACGCGTCGTACTGCCTGCAGAGATAATGCAGACATCGAAGAGTACTATGTACGGAGCGCTTCTAGAAGCGTTTGCTTTACCAGACACTCCACGAACACGGCCAACACCTGGCGACTCATCCACAGCTGTTTCAACCCCATCTGTGTATACTGCCAAGACCTACCTAGAAACCTTCGGCTGTCAATACAGCTGGTACGAGGTGCCGGTGAACCATGAAGACGCGATGCGGAAGAGCGCAACCAAATGGGGCTGGGCTCTCAACCGACCACTGACCAAGGCAGGTGGAGGGGTCAAAATCAACAGTCTTGAGTTGAGCTTTTCCGGCATTACCACAATGGTTGAGCGCATCGTTCGATTTGGCATGGATCCAGCGACAAGAAAATTCAACAAAGTCGAGAGGGCGGCTGTCGACGTCAGCATCGAAGAACGGAAAGATCTAGCACGTGAGACTATGCGTGCTGCGTTTGAACATGTCGCTTCGCGGGTGGTTCTAGGCCTGCAATCTCAACAGGACGTCGTACATGCACCCGCAGTTGTCATGGCTGGTGGTGTGGCCGCCAACTTATTTCTTCGACACATGTAAGTTGATTCATCAGTACGAAGGCATGCAGCGTTGTCGACCAGTAAGAACAAAGTGTGCTAACGGTCATCAGATTAGCAAAGACGCTTTGCGCCCATGGGTTTCCGGATGTTGAACTACATTTTCCGCCACCCAAGTTTTGCACCGACAATGCTGCAATGATAGGATGGGCTGGCCTCGAGATGTTCGAAGCCGGCTACCTCGCTCCACTCAGCATACGGGCAATACGCAAATGGCCGCTGGATAAGCTCTTAGATCCTCCGTCGGATGGGTGAACTCACCACACTACATGCTATGTGTATACAACGCATAGCATACGAGGGTTCGAAGCACTCTGTATAGGCCGAGAACATTGGTGCCTGGATATTCAAGGTCATTTTCTAGCGCCTAGGGAATCAGCCACCATGAATCACCTCGGCTGCCGGCACAAGAAGTATCGCGTGTTTCACTGCGTTCATGGGCACACTCGCAGGCTGTCCGCCAAGGACGTTATCAGTACGACTTATTACAATTCTCTTTCGTCTTGTCTAAAGATAGGCCATCTGGAGGGTACTTGGGCCGAGAATTACCCTGGAGTAAATGACTACAAGTCTTTACCTTTCCGAATGCGAATATCGTGATTCTCGCTTCACCTTTTTCGAACAAACAGGAAAGTGCCAAGCGTGTCCGCATTCAGACCGGGTCTACACGTTACAGAGATAACGTTGTCGAGATTTCGAGAGATTCAGAGCTGGCACCGGCTCATATGAACATGCAAGGGCATTGCGTGGAGGACCCTGGACTTCTCGGCTGTCCCCATGCATGTCACGATCACATCAAATAGCCAGCAATATAGCCAAACAAGAACCACTTTAATTCTGCCGAACGTCCCCATGTTTCGCCAAATCAACCCTTTGTAGAGCACGATGTGTCCCTATATTTAGGCCTTTCCAGGTCATGCCACAGCTGCACCCGACGGCTATCAGGATATATTGCGCTGCGAGATCGAAAGCACGACCTAGAGCCCGGATTCACAACTATCAAGCATCGCTAATGCAACGTCTGCAGTATCGCACACGTGCAACCGATGTCTCGTACGGTGCGATGCTGTCTAGGCTCGTATCTTTCATTTACACACAAACTCGTCGCCTATGTGGGCAGTTCGACCGGAATGACGAACCGAGCAAAGTCTATAACTTCTTCGCATAGTCGCAGTGAATGTGTCAATTCTGGAGTGTGCTCGTATCTTACGATCTAGTTTTGCGTAAGACGCTACTCTTGGAATATGGCTTTTGCACGGAATAGCGTGCTTGCGCTTCTTGGCCTCGCTATTGGGTTGGTCATGATACCTACAATGAGAAACTATCGCTGACTTTCTTCCAGTGCTCATGCAGCGCCTGCAGGTCTACACAATCGCCAGATAGGGGTCACACCACCCAAGCAGAGTGTCTCTTGGGATACTGGTAACTCAGAACCTACCGAAGAGCCACAAGAGCCCATCATTCCTTCCATACCAACCGATGAGATCAGTCTTGGAACGCCATCGGGGTGGCTCAGTTGGGAAACTACTGGACCAGCTCCTACAGATGCACCCGGAAGCCCTGACTACCCGCCTCCAGCCAAGCCAACGGATCAATTCAGTATCGGCACGCCATCTGGCTGGATCAGCTGGGAGACCAGTGGACCTGCGCCTACGCCAGCTCCTGAAGAACCCGACTATCCACCTCCGTCCAAGCCAACAGATCAATTCAGTATTGGCAAACCATCCTTCTGGATAAGCTGGGCGACGGATGGTCCCGCACCAACTCCTGAGCCGGAAGAGCCTGAGGAGCCTGCATATCCTCCAACTAAGCCCAGCGATCAAATTAGCATTGGTAAGCCATCATACAGTGTTACTTGGGACGGAGACGGCCCAGGTGCTTCATCAACGCCAAAACCAGAACCGACCTCTGAACATCCCACTGTCACATCACTGCCACCCATTTGGTCCAACTCAAGCACCATCAGCACAGCTCCTACCACCAGCTCCAAGTCTCCAGTGTCTTCTTCTACCAAATCTGCTTCGTCCAGCAAGGTCTCGTCCACCAAGAAGCCCTACCCACCGTGGCACCCATGGCCACCGAAGCCAACGAAACCAACGTCAAAGTCTACCTTGAAATCAACAGAAAAGCCAACTTCGACTCCAAAGCCGTCGTCAACCGCGAAGCCAATTCCCTCCCCAGTACCAGTGCCTTCGACAACCAAGAGCGCTTTCATCAGTCTGTCGCCCCCTAAGTTCAGCGTGAGTTGGGATTTGAACAGAAGAGAAGCAAAGCCTACTTCTACGACTACCAAGAAGACAAAAACGACTTCGACTAAGAAGACAACGACTACGACGAAGAAGAGTACATCAAAGAGCACATCGAAGTCAACCTCCAAGTCAACCTCCAAGTCTTCTTCTAAAGCTACAACAACGCCTAAGCCCACTCCTACACCCACGCCTACACCATCACCATCCCCTATTCCTCTCCCTACCCCAACGCCCAGTCCTTCGCCATCCTCATCCCCCTCAACTCTGACCCCTACTCCTATCTATACTTCCACTACTACTCCCCCTGCCGAGATCACCGTAGGCCCGCCCAACTTCAGTGTATCCTGGAACTACGACGAACCCGAGCCTACTCCGTCACCTGAAGAACCGCTTCCCGAGGATGGAGAAGAGCCCTATCCTACCGACCCAGAAGATCCCTTTCCTGAGGATCCTTTTCCAGAAGACCCAGAAGACGACTTCCCACCTCCTTCTCAGCCAACCCAAGCAAACAGCATCGGCCTTAACCCGCCTACTGTAACCGTGATCTGGGGCAAGAAGCGCCAAGAAGACGATGCTGTACCCACCTCATCGCCGGAGCTTCCCGAAGACGATGATGATGACGATGACTTCCCTCCGCCATCACAGCCAACACAGCCAAACAGTGTCGGCCTCAATCCACCCACCTACACTGTCATCTGGGGTAAGGAAAAGCGCGTTGCTGCTCCTGCGCCTGAACCCACTGCTGCACCCGCAGTAGCTGAGAGAGATGCAGAAGCAGAGCCGAAGCCACAGAACAGTATTGGCTTAGAGTTCCCCTGGCAGAGTATTACGTGGCCGAAGCCAGCGCCGCCAACGTATATTTCATGGGGGAAGAGGGAGGATGATGCAGCACCCACGGCAGTACCGCAGAAGAGGATGGAGACGGTTTATGTAAAAGGGAAGGAGGCTAGGGCTACTCTTGCTTGAGGAGATTGCGAATTAGGAAAGACGGCCATTGGGGCGCGCGAGCTTGGGTGGATCGGATAGGGATTCTGACGTAGCATACCCTCATTCCTCTGACTGTACCAGATCCTCAATTTATTCTCTTGCTTATCAAGGCCAAAGTGTGACTGTTCAGTACCCATACATATGCTCTTGTGAAGTCAAGCGTCCTTTGTAAGTTACTGTCACGAATCTCATCGTAAAGATACACATAACAAGACCGAGGTGTACGATAAACATTACTCTGCTACAAACTCATACCGCAAGTGATCAAAACTATCATACATGTTCTAAGCGTAAATATCCAAGCAACCCACTGGGTTGTAACACATTACGTATTTCAACTAGCTTCACGAAGACTGTGCTGGCGTGGAAGCACCTTGGCTACGCACCTGAAGCTTCTTCGGCTTCTTCTTCGGCTTCGGCTCTTCGGACGTCGTCGAGCCGCTTGGCTTCTCTTCCTTCTGTGGTGCGGATGGTTCTTGTTGGCTAGACGCTGGTTTCTTGTCTGCTGGATCTTCATCCTTTTTGGGTGTTTGTTTCGCCGATTCTGTCTTCTTCAGTTCAGGCTTCTTTGGTGCTTCCTTCTTCTCTGTTGCGTCGTCTTTCTTGTCTTCTTGATCTGCCTTCTTAGGTTCTTGCTTCGTCTTGTTCGCCTTGTCCTTCTCGTTCAGCTTCTTCGGTGCTTTCTTCGCTTTGCCAGATGCGATAGATGATGCGAGGTCCTCGCCTTCTTGTACGTCTTCGACCATGAAGTTGGCTGCCATGCACCGTCCGCCATTCTGCTTTCCTACATCCATAGGGCAAGCGCTGAATACAATGACTACATCCCGCTCGGCACGGAAGCGGACGAAGCATCGCTTTTTGCCTTTGGGCTCATCGACTCTGAGCGTCACGCCCTTTGTGCCCGCACCGTCGGTTTGGTCACTACCCTCGGATTGTAGAGGCGCATTCATGAAAAGATGAAGAGGCGTGGGTGCGATATTGACTGAGATGTCTGCGCCAACTGCTTTTGGACCCTTGAGTCCTGCCGTCTCGTTGATTTCCTTAAGCGCGAGGACGAGGTTCTCGGCACAGCTACCATGTTCCGCCGGCTTATCAACGCCTAATGAAGCGTACTGGTTCGCGTCACATGCCGCCGTCAGTGTGTCATGTCCACCGGGCGATGTGTCTTCAATAAGGGTGACGATCGGGTTGCGCAGGTTGGTCAGGAGCTCGTCATCGACTTCTGGCACGAGTTTGTGCGAGGAAGCGCGCGTGTGGGGAAGGGAGAGGTACTCCATTGGAGGTTGCGAAGAGTTTGAGGGATGTGTCGAGGCGTATGCAGAGTATACTGCATAAGCCGAGGATGCGTAGCCTGAACCAGTCGCAGCTGCCTAACGTTACTATCCATTCCTATGATGTAGATCACAAGATCCAAAACTTACCAGCGATGGTTCCAGCGCCTACAGGCGTCTTCGAGAAGTCGTAGAGCTGTTCCGCATAGCTCTTGTTCGGATCGCGGTAATGGCTCGACTTAAACGCGCTCACGACGGCGTTCTTGTCGGGTACTTCGACATTCGGCACATAGCTAGAGAAACTCTTTCCAGTCGGTAGGTATGACGACCACTTCTTGGTATTCTCCTCGTTCTGTTTCTTCTCTTGCTCAGGACTAGGCTTCTGCTCTGCTTCCTGCTTGTTCGCTCCGCCCTTGTTGCGGTATGGGATCGAGGGGAGATATGACGCCCAAGTGCGCTTGTTGGGCTGCTTCGACGATGACGCTGTGCTCTCGGTTGTCTTCTCGTTATCGGGTGTATCAGGAGCTTGTTCGGGCGGGTCTTCAGCAGCTTCTTCTTTTGGACTTTCGACTGCCTCTTCAGTAGATTGAGTTTCCTTGCCACTGCTACCTGCATCCTTCTTCTGCTCCTCCGAATCGTCCTCTACATCTTTCTTCGGCTCTTTCGGTTCGTTTGACTCGCCTTCTTTGTCTTTGGCCGCCTCTTCACCTTTCTCACCCTCCTCCTCCACAGCCTTCTTCATTTGCTCTGCCTCTTTCTTGACTTGTTCATCATCCAATTCCTTTCCTTCACCCTCTTCATCATCTCCCTCCTCTGGTGGTGGGCCCAGGGTAAACGCCCACATACTTACCACTTGCTTGCCATATGTGTTGATGACCTTGATTGTCCTGCCTCTGGGCACAAATGTCGCGACGCCATGGCGCGCGGGTATAGTCTGCAATTCACCAGACATGTCTTCGGCCGTGTCGAAATTGTACTGTTCCTCTCTGTCTTTTCCCTTCTTCTTACGCTGCTTCTCAACAGCCGACAGCACAGAGATAAGTGCAATGCCAGCGAGAGCGCGACGAGAGGGGACTTGAGGCGCCGTGTTGACAAGTTGTATGCGCTAGTAGCGCCAGCAAGGAAACAGGATAGATGGACAGTTGGTAAATGGCCGTTAGTGTATCTGGCTTCCGTTATGTCGACTTGAACGACGAGTAGTGAGGTATGGAACATCTACCATATCCACGGATCGGTGACGTACACGGTGCACATCATTACAGATCGCACGACGCGATTCGTCGGGAAGGTCGGCAGCAAGCATGGGAGCCCTTGTGCAACGTCCCGCGCGGTCATCTTACTAGGATCACGAATGACGCAGCGTAGTGGAACCCTGTTTTGCGATGGCAAAAGCAACGGCAGAGGGACGCGGTTGCGATTGCCCTAGAACCTCATTGCTCGCTTACACTTGTGGGTCTCATCGCCCTCTAAGCGGATACCTATAGTGATAGTCATTCTCGAGGTTCATGTTTACACTATGACCACAGACCTCACACACTTCCAACGTGCATACAACGTAAAGCAGCTTGCTTGAGCATCTGCGGCGATGGGCAGTTTTGCATTTTCATCGGAGTGCCGTTCCGAGCGACTGTCGCAATCACTATGAGGGGAGGCCTCCAGGACAAAACTGAGCTAGAGCTACTCTTCAACTACCTTGGTCGCTATCCTACACCATGACCGCTTTCCATCCATTTCCGCGGCTTCCTCTGGAGCTCCGAGAGCAGATCTGGAAGGACACCATCGAACCGCGCACTGTCGACGTCCGGCGTACTCGAAAGGGGACTGAACGTTATGGCCAGCTGGTCTCGTCTACGCCAATACCAGCCATGCTACAGTCCTGCCGGGAAGCGCGAAACCTTGGACTTTACGAGCGAGTTTTCTTTGAGGTTACTCCTGCAACAAAACAATTAAAAGGCAAAAACGAGGCTGAGAACGCCATGAAGAGGTTCTTCACGCTCGATGAGCGGGGAGAAGAAGGGCCCAAGAAAGCAGGCTCTCCTGACACGGAGCAACGCTATGTCTGGTTAGATCTTAACATTGATATGGTGGATATTGGGGCTTCTAGGTTCTGCAACTACGAATCGGTCGCATCAGCAGTCAAGCGTCTCAAATTCGAGCGAGAGAACTCAGAGGAATACTTCTACCATACTGAATCAACTGAACTCATGAATTTTGCTAGTGTGGAAGAGATTCACATAGTCTGCGCAGATGGTTTCTGGATGTGGGCTGGAGCTACACACGAGCATTCCTGGCCCTGCGCCGAAGAAAAGCTGGTGTTTATTGACGCATTCAATGGTCGGGTTGCGCGTGGCATTGAATTTGAAAAGATATGTATACAGACGCTGGAGGACGCTTGGCTAGGAGCTCCTGGCGAAGCATTTTCCACTGATGACGAGTCTTGAGGCTGAAACAAGCGTCTTGTCTATCTTTCTAGCTGTCGCTAGAGACATGATTTTATTGGGAGTGGAAAACATCGAGATGCATAATTTTACCAATGGAATACTGATGATTACGCCAAAGCTATCTTACAATACTGTGACTCAAAACTAAGTCCTGAAGATCTTCGCTGAACTCTGACGATGGCTCTCTCTTACAATCACCGACTGCAGGCAATCTGCTGATCTTAGTGCTCGCATCCTTGTCACCTGCCTCGCGAGCTGCTCGTTCGGCCTTCGCTTAATCAACTATCTCGGAGACCTTCAGGACAAGATTGAGCTAAAATTATCCATCGACTACTGTATTATCAGGCGCACTTATCCTGCTGTCTTTCGTTTGAACGAGATTGTCCAATGACTACCGGCTTGTGCTATGTGTGACAGTATCTGTTTGACGTTGGCGGCACAGTGCAGACAGCTGCACATCTGGAAGACGTGTCTGGACGCCACACGCAGCAGGATCACCTTGTACTACACCACGCGCATATCGCCTGTGTAAGTATGCGCTGTACGACCCCGCATCAAGCGCTTAAAGTCTTGGTCACCATATATTATGGCTAGTTTAAGAAGTACTACAGAGTCCACCAAACGTACCAAAAATGGGCGAGCCATCAACTACATGTTCCTTTGAGGAGTACGTGCGCAGCACTATTCATCTAACTACGTAACTGATAATGTATAGACTTATGCAGTCAAAACTATTTACGTTCTATATTGGGAAAGAAAAGAAGGCCTTCGTTGTTCATTCTAAAGCAATCGCCGCAACCTCATGGCACTTCCATGCGCTTGTGAGCAATGGCATGGTGCAGTCGCAAGAGGGGTCTGTCGAGTATCCTGACATGGATGCATGTGATTTTGCTCGCTTCGTCGAGTACGCCTATCGTAATGATTACACTCCGCCTTCCTGGACCATGGATGAGAGAACCGTGGAGAACCGCAGCATGAACGGCACTACCCGCAATGGCGAAGACGCACAGTCACCGACAGAGTCAGAGTTAGAGGAGCTACAACTAGAAGCTCTGGAGGCTGAACAGGCTCTGGCGGCTGAACAGGCTGAGGAGACTCTACGTAGTTCGGCGGTAGTAACAGAAACCCTTGTTGATCTCAATCCATATACGGGGCTGAAAACATCCAAAGCAAAAAGGGAAGCAAAGATGAGGGCAAAAGCTGCCCGAGAGACTCAGTCTCTGCGCCAAAGCTTCGGCGAACGCCAGTATCTCATGCAGAATGAACCCCGAATGCAAATACAGCGCGACTTTGTGCCTAAAGGAAACTCTAAGCGCACTCAGGACTTCACGCCCATCTTCCTGGCGCACGCGCGTCTCTATACCTTCGCCTGCATGCGCCTCATTGACCCACTTAAGCGCCTGGCCCTATACAAGCTCCATCAAACTCTTCTCCTGTTCAAACTTTACAGTCGACGAGTGGGCGATGTGATAGATCTAGCTAGATACGCGTATGACCACGGAGAGGACAGGAAGCCGAATGGGACGATTGAGGATCTCAGGAAGCTAGTGGTTGAGTACATAGTTTGTGAGGTGTCGACTATTGGGAAGCACGAAGCGTTTGCAATCCTGTTGCAAGAAGGTGGGGAATTTGTGGTTGACTTTTGGGGTATCATTGCCAAGGAGAATCTTGGTCTGTACGCGTAATCCAGTTTTTAGTTGATCGATCTCTTCTCTTCTGTCTAACATTATCTTGTCAGCGCTATTCGACTCTTGCCATTATTCTCTCGCCAATGCCCCATTTGTTCTTGTTCTAGAGCGCTATCGACCTGAGTTACCATTGTAGTAATTCTCCTTCATGTTGCAATCTATTCCGTATGTTGGTAATCTGTGCTCATCGTCTACCTGCGTACTGTAGCCACGAAGCATGTGTGTCCCTCCAGCTCTTGTCTCACACTCAGATGTATACTCAAACATCTCTCTATGCGTATTTGCAGATATGAAAGGTTTTCCGGGTATAGTCGCGGTCATGTTTCTCACGTACTCGCTCAAGGCGCCGCCATGACAAATGCGCTCATAGCCTTCACCGCGTTGCCATCATGCGCGCGCAACAGCTCCGTCGCCTTTGGCTTCGTAACTTCGAGCTCGTTAACCTATTCATACAAACGTCAGTCCATGCGCAGTTAACCTATGGCACTTGCTTGTCACTCTTTCCATCCATCTTTCACAAGCTCGACATACCAGTAGGGTAACATCCGCGGCTTCAATTTTGACATTCTTCTTCTCGCCTTCTTTCTTGTCCTTGACATTCAACCCTTTCATCGCTTTGTCTAGTGCCTTTCCATCGACTTCCTTCTTCGAGCCGTTATCACCTTCTTGTGATGCATCGAGAGTAGAGAGGGCGGCGGCGGCTTTGCGGTCTTCAGCTGTACCGGTGGGTGCGTGAGGGTCGGCAGCGCCTTCCTGAACACCGGAAGGTTGGGGCTCTGCCATTTTAGATCTTGGTAGTAACGCGGTATGGATTTGGAGATATGAAAGAGTAGGTGGTGGCCTGAAGAGCTTACACAGTTGGTAGAGATAGATGGAATGACGATTGTGGATTGGAGAGCTGCGGGATGTGGGGTAGCTAAGGATTATGGAAATGTAGCCAATAGGAAAAAGGAGCGGCCGTTATTGGCTGTTCTTTTGAATTTATGCATCCTACACTATGGGCGCACACACACCCCGAACACAGAACATAATGTTGCAAAAGAAAACTAGCACAAGAGCGATCGAGTAGTCGCTTTACGTCTGTCAGCATATTCGAGGTAAGTCGGCCGCGTTACGTCATTGTGTATTGCGCGCGCAGTCCGCTTTTCGTTGCAGATTTTGTCCCTTGAGTCATGTGCCTCTGCCCTTTGTTCACGTCTCTATGCAGGCGAATCCTTGCCGCATTCCCATATTAACAAGTGACTCGAAGCTAGTCTTTTGTGTCGCGCCTAGGCAACCTTGACTTAGTCACCAAAACTGTGTATCACCTGAGAAAGCATCACGCTATGGACAGCGAAGGACACGCAAAATTGACCGACTACGTCTCCCAGTTCATGGCAGCAGCCAGCGGCCAACCACAATCACAGTCATCTCAACCCACCATGAGCGCAAACTCGACACAACTGCCTGAAAGGCCAAAGCAAGAAGCTGAGGCGAACGGTGAATCCGAGGGATGGTCGCCGGCCTGTAAGAAATCATCATGGATATTAGGGTCGATGTACTAACAAGTATAGCTTGGAGGTCGAAACCCATTAAGCAAGTCGTTACCTACGAAGACCAAGCAGCAGTGTCTTCTGCCTTGACCAAGCTATCAAGTCTTCCGCCAATCGTCACCCCAACAGAAATAGCCAGACTCAAGGCTAGTCTCCGCGATGCTGCACTTGGAAAGTCGTTTTTGCTGCAAGGAGGTGACTGCGCCGAATTGTTTTCTTACTGTGCGGACAACCCAATCGATGCAAAGATCAAGCTTCTGTTGCAGATGAGTTTGGTCCTGATTTGGGGTTCGAATAAGCCTGTCATTCGTATTGGTCGCATAGCCGGACAGTATGCTAAGCCAAGATCAAGCCCAACTGAGATGCTGAACGGCAAGGAGGTTCCCAGCTTCCGTGGCGATATTCTCAACGGATATGATCCTGATTCCCGAAGAGTTGACCCCGAGAGGTTGGTCAGCGCTTACTTCCACTCTGCAACGACCCTAAACTACATTCGTGGACAGCTGGCAAGTGGCATCGCTGACTTGCATAACCCTCTGGACTGGGAACTTGGTCATGTTCGGGACGAAGAGTTGCAGTCAAAGTACACGAAAATTGTAAACAGCATCTCTGACTCACTACGGTTCATGAAGACTATCGGTGCGGATACATCCGGTCAGCTACAAACAGTCGACCTCTTCACCAGCCATGAAGGTCTTGTGCTAGAGTATGAACAAAGTTTGACAAGGAGGCTCAAGCATCCCGCTGGTTACAAGCCCTCGCAGCCATCAAACGATGGCAAGGGCTGGTACAACACCTCTGCTCATTTTATCTGGATTGGAGACAGAACTCGCCAGATCGATGGAGGCCATGTGGAGTACTTCCGTGGTATCGAGAACCCCATTGGTATCAAGGTTGGACCATCGATGAAGAACGATGAGTTGGTTGATCTACTTGACATTGTCAATCCAAACAAGGAGGTTGGCAAGATTACGTTGATTACGCGTTATGGTGCGGACAAGGTTGAGTCTATGCTTGGCGCGCACATTGAAGCTGTCAAGAGCAGTGGGCACGTTGTAGTATGGCAGTGCGACCCTATGCATGGGTAAGTCGACCTTCAATGTGCGAAGCTTCACTCGCTAACATGTCAATAGCAACACACGCAGCACGCCTACTGGCATCAAGACCCGCTCTTTCAACAGCATCTTCTCTGAGCTTTCATCGGCACTCAAGATCCACAAGGAACACGGCTCCTTCCTTGGCGGCATGCACCTAGAACTCACTGGTGATGCCGTTACGGAGTGCACTGGAGGAAGTGAAGGTTTGGTGGATGAGGATCTGAGTTTGAACTACACAACATACTGCGACCCTAGGTTGAACGAGAAGCAGGCGTTGGAGTTGGCTTTCTTGGTCGCAGGGCACTACCGCGCAGACGAAAAGCTGCTTTAAGCGTATAGCGTTGTTGCCTGAGACTATCATGGGACGATGTTGCTGAAATAAAATTACGATTCGTTGAATACTTCGCAAGCATCACCCAAAGTAGTAAACCCCTTCATGACGCGGGAGATCTCCACGACATCATCGAGTTGGTCCGAGCTTCACAAAGTCCCATACGTGCATCTTATCTTTCCCCCCGTTATCACCACGCATCTCAACATTCTGCAACAACCCCACATTCAGCATACCCCTCAACAACGATAATGGGCTCTTCGGCTTCTAAAGGCGCAAAGGCTGCTGGCTCTGCCGCACGGCAATACCCTACCAGGGCTCCTACAAGTACCACACAAAGGGCTCCCGCGCCTTCCGCACCTGCACAGGCTCCTACAAGGGGACCGACTGTGCATCCTGAGGTGCAGGCTACAGGAGAGAAGACGGAAGGTATGTGATATTACAGTCTTAGAGGATTGGCGACGCAGTACTAATTTTAATTCCAGCTGTCTTACAAGATGCGCGCGATCCTGCCTTCGCATCTCGATTGAGCAGTCTCGGTGCTGTACAACCAAACCCACATTACTCGCCTTCCTCTCAATCGCAGTTCGATCCTCGTCGTAACACCTCGCCCAATTTGCCCTCGGATACCATGATGCAATCGCTACCACAGTCCGCGTTCCCAGACCCGCGCAACAACCCTGTGCTGCGAGTACTAGAGGCAAGACAAAAGATAGCAGATCAGGCGGAAGACGAGTTGCGAGACGTAGGTAGGAGAGGTTTCCAAGGGAGAACATATGTGGATGCTGGTGTCATAACATTGGCGATGATGAGACAGGCCAAGGGAGAACCCGATTCGAGGATTGAAGACGCACTAGGAATCAAGAGGGGCAGGCTGAGTGTGTTGGGCAAAGGTACGGTGGAAGCTGTAGCCCTGGCCTGAGCAGACGATATCGAAGACGTCACGACATATCCACGAGACATCTGAAGGCGAATGCAGCGGCGTCAAACGGCCAGCGGGGATCGATTTGATCTGCAAAAGAGAGTACATGTGTACATACGAAACAAGAACGAGAGAAGATCGTGTCAACACCAAGCTCAGCCTTCCCAACCGGTGCAATGCGTTACCCTAGTCGTTACCCAAACGCCAAAACAACACCGGAGCAGATGCAAGGAAACAAAGGAAATAGCAGAATTGCGCGCGTAATCATGATTCGTCATGGTCCGCGTTCTCATGGATGAAGTTGTTCAGCGCCATCAGGGCTTCTTTCAGGCACTCTTGGTCAACCTCAAGACCATCTCGGCACATTTCGTCGTAGCCTATCCGGGCAACGCCACCACTGGCGCCCATGCGAGATCGTTTCTGGTTCCATTTGCGAGCGACTTCCCATCGCTTACGGGTTTGTGTAAAGGGCGGGCACGTATCTGCGATTTCCCTACTCTCGCGCAGGATTGTGAGAGCGTTAAGGACGTTTAGGAATATGCTACACCCGCGATAGTCAGTTCCTACTCCAATTCAACGCAAGCAGTGTTTGTCGAATGACATACCCTTGTGTAAGCTCCAAGTCATGATCCCACCCATACGCCACAGTACTGAAGCTGTTCCCTTGCGCCACGATATCCAAGAAGATGAAGAGCGATTCTTCCACACTTATGTCCGGAGTAATTTGTGATGCGACGTTTGCCAGGATCCAGTCTGAGAGTTCAAAGAAGGTCTTCTGATCCATGTGCGCGAAGCCTACGAAGCGCTCCGGGACGGTGAACATGAGCGACATGGCTCGTCGCGCGCCCATGGCCTCTATGCAATCCATTTCGCCGAGAAGATGTGTAAGACGTGAGATAAGACCGAGAGGTTGATCGAAAAGTGGGTGTGGTGATGTGCTAGTAGCGTGCCCAGATGGTGGATGGGCGTGGTGTTGGAAAGCGGAGTCGGAAGACGTCAGGTGAGAATGAGGAGTAAGACTGGATGAATGATGAACAGATCCAGCTGCATGCGTGTTGCGGATATCGGCAATAGTACTGTCTAAAGCGACTTCCCAATTTCAACAACAAATCCGTCGAGTTAATTTTTCCGAATGTTTAAACAAGAAGCGAAAGGACAGTCTAGACGCCTAAAAATGACAAGGTGAGGTTTGGAGCGGGTTCCCACGTTTCCAAGCTTTGTTACGCAAGCTGAAGGGCAAGTGAAGCGCGCCATCATTTGCGCCCATTCACACAGTGGGGCCGTTGTCCGTGTTGCTGCACCGCACGACACTCACTGACGGTCTCTGGCATGTGAAAGTCGTGCACGCTCCAGGCGCATATGACATCAGTATCCAATCAGACTGGTGGATCCAGACCTCGTTGCGGCATGCGCGACGCCGGAGATTGATTGTCCCCTTTGTCTTACTTCTTTGTCCTGAGACTATCGAATACAACAGAGTCAAGCGACAACTCCTATCCTCCCACAGCCCCCCCCCTAAGAGGGCAAAGGAACACGCGCCGAACTGCCTACCACACGCAGCTTGACATTGCGGCGTGGACGCGAGGATTGGCCGAGACCAAACCATCGCTTTGTGTCCCTCTAGTGAGCAAGTGGGTGGAGCTAACTGCGGAGCTAAGAGGCTAAATGTAGCAGGTGGGTTTGGTCTCGGGTCAGCTTGGCGCATCACGGGTATTTTCCAGGTTCGGCTTCGAATGGACATCGAGGCTAAAGGGTAAAAAGCAATGACTCTGCTGGAGAGTCTTTGGTAGATGAGGGAAACATGATTCCTTTATGACGATATCGGTTGAGGTTCCATACGGTTTGTGGTGCAGCCAGAACAGGGTAAGCTGCTAAGCTTCTCAAGCTAGATTGGGTGGAGG